ACACACACACACACCCCAAACCAACCCAGAAAAACAAAACCCCAAAAACAAAAAAAGGACTTTTCAAAAGAGGACTCATGCATCTCTATGGAGGATGCAAACTGAAGATGAGTGGGATCCAACTGGGGATGTTCGTGGCCAGGCAGCGGGAGGAGTCCCTGCTCTGGGTCCCCTCTGCACATGCGCTGTGTGTTCCCCGCTGTCTCTGATGCAGAGGACCCTTAGGATGCTCTCGCAGGTGGAGGGCTGATGCTGATATTCTGCTCTCTGTTATAGAGGGGCCCTAGAGTTTAGGGTGCATCTTTTGTCCACATGCACTTTGGCCACCTGTTTGAGGATGGGAGGCGCAGTGGCCCTGCCCCCTCTGCAATGTCCACCCTGGGGTGGTTCCAGCCAGTGCAACCTCAGGCCTCTCCGTCTCCCTGGGAAACCTCAGGAGGCAGCATCTCTACGCCAGAGGCTCATCAGATTCTATCCAGATGCTGTATAAACAGGGCAGCGGTGGAAAAGCCCTCCTCTGATGGGGACAAGATTGCATTTTCCAGTGCTGTAGGTAAAATGCACAAGGAAAAATGCGACTCTGTGGTTGCCTCAATACACCCTGAGGGGCTTTATTTTTCTTTGGCACATGGAAAGCCCAGGTTGAACAGTCTGCAGGAGAAAGCAGAGTGGACATGAAGACAGGCATCTCCTCCCTGTGCTAAGTCCAGCACCAGATCTGAAGACCGTTCAGGTTTTAGTAAATTTCCTTCATTTATGCAGGTTGAGCTCCTGGTGTTCACAAGTAGAACCTATAACATACTGAAGGATACCCCATTTTTTCCTAATCTGTGTGGGGTGGCACTGTCTAAAGGTGGTGTGACCTTTGAGAGGCAAAGCCTCATGGGAGGAAGGTAACTCACTCCCTGAAGTCATGTCCTTGAAGGGGATATGGGGACCCAGACTTTTCTTGTCTCTTTACTTCCTGGCTGCCAGAGAGGAACAGGTCTCTTCCACCATGACCTCCTTTCATGGTGTACTGTGCCACCCCAGAGGCAAGTCAACAGTCAAGCAAGCATAGACGGAAACCTGTCAAACTACGAGTCAAAATGAACCTTTCTTTTTTTTTAAGGTGTCAACCTCAGGGATTTTATCACAGTGACGTGAAGATGACCATTATAAACTGCCATCTGTTGAAGTCCTCCCTTATGCATTGGGCATTCAGAAAATTGTCAGGGAGCAATATGGTAGACAGCTGTGAGCTTTCCAGGAGCTTGGAGTGTCGGAGCGGGAGACAGACAAGTAAACAGGAAATTATAACACACGTGGAAACACTCTACCAGAGGAAGCTTAAGATGCCGGAGGGGGCAGAAGCATTGTACCAGATTTCGCCTGGCAACTGGGATGGCCTGAGGGAGCTGCCAGGAGGGAGGGACGGAGGGGAAGGGGCCATTGACGCAGAGACGAGGGAAGGGAACATGCCATGCACCACGGTCAGTGGCTATAAACTACATCAATTCTGGTCAGAAGATAAATAACCAAATTTGTGTAAAAATATAATGGATTTTCCTAGAAAGCAGCAAGATGCATATGGAGGAGGGGTGCAGAGTCCAGATGAAGAATCACAAAGGTAGACTCATCTATCAGGTGTGAGGCTGGGTGGGTCCTTGGTTCTGAAGCCAGTCCCCACCCAGATCCTGAGCTAGAGCTTGGAACAGGTATTTGTTTAAAAGTCCCCCTAGTGAGTCACAGGCAGATCACAACTGAGCGGAGGCTCCATTTCACTGTCATCGTGGGTGTGAGGCTAGAGTGTAAAAATGGAAAGCAACAAGTGACCACAGGTCAGCTTTTCGTCACTGTGACCAAAGTACCTGACAAGAACAACTTAGAGGAGGAAAGGTGTACTTGGGGCTCATGGTTTCAGGGGTTCAATCCATGGTTGGCCAGCTCCACTGCTCTGGGCCTGAGTGAGACCCAGCGTCATGGTGGAAGGGTGTGGTGGAGGGAAGAAGAGGGTCGGTTCCTGGCTCAGAAAAATAAAGCACCCAGGGATCTGAATAGTTCAAGGGCATCCTCCTAGTGACCTACCTCCTCCAGCCATGCCACACCACCTACAGTCACCATCCCGTGATCCATTCCGCTATCAATGGATTAATCCAGTTTTGAGGTCAGACCTCTAATCATTGCCTCAAAAGCTCCGCCTCTGAATCTTGCTGCACTGGGGATCATGCTTTCAAAACATGAGCTTTTGGGTGTGTGGGGGACATTTCTAGATCCAAACCATAACAGTTGGGAAGCACTGGGAGAAAGTGGAACTTCTGTGCATCACTGGTAGGAATGGGAGAAGGTGCCGGTGCTGTGGAGACAGTAGTGTTTCCTCAAATGTATCCACAGAATTCCCACAGGACCCGGCAATTCTGCTTCTAGGAATCTACCCAAGGCTGAAAGCAGGGATTCTAACATGTATTTGCATGCCCATGTTCAAAAAGCACTATTCACCGTGGCCAAAATGTGGAAGCCACCCGGATGTTTACTTAGAAATGGGTACAAAGGACATAGTTTATGACACAATGAAAAATATTCAGTCTCAAAAAGGAAGGAGATTCTAGCCGGGTGCGGTGGTGCACGCCTCTCATCCCAGGGCTCAGGAGACTGAGGCAGGAGGATCACAAGTTCAAGGCCAGCCTCAGCAACTTAGTGAGGCCCTGAGCAACTCAGTGAGACCCTGTCTCTCAATAAAATACAAAACAGGTCTGGGGATGGGGCTCAGTGGTTAAGGGCCCCTGGGTTCCATCCCCAGGACTACCTCCCCACAAAAGGAAGGAGATGCTCTCATACGCTACAACACGAATGAACCTTAAGACATGATGCTAAGTGGAGTGGAAGGTCACAAAAAGATAACAATGGCCTGATTCCACTTCCATGAGGGACTTCAACTGGGCAGAGGAGTAGGGCGGAGGCTTCCAGAGGCAGGGGCAGAGGGAACAACGGGGACTACTGACCAATGGTACAGTTTGTCTGGGGTAAACCAAAGGCTTGGAAATAGATCACAGTTATTCAACACTGAACGCACTTCATCCACTTTCTCCCACACTTAAAAAATGGGCCAGTGGTAAATTCCATGTTGTGTATTTTGCCACAATTTTAAAAGAAATTTTTTTTTTTTTTACTTGTAGATGGGCACAAGATCTTTACTGATTGATTGATTGATTTTTATTTGGCCCTGACGATTGAACCCAGCACCCCACACTGGGAGGCAAAGCACTTTACCACTGAGCTACCCGCGAGAGAATTTTTTTTTTTAATATTTATTTTTCAGTTTTCGGTGACACAGCATGTTTATTTTATTTTATGTGGTGCTGAGGATCGAACCCAGTGCCCCAGGCCTGCCAGGTGGGCGCGCTACCGCTTGAGCCACATCCCCAGCCCTTGTTTCTTTGTTTAAGGCAAAAACTCCCAATGATTTTGAACCAGTTGCTCCAGAGTTTGGGGGACCTGTGAACCAGCTTACCCTGTGGCTATATAAGTTCTAGAGCCTGGAGTCTTGCATGCCATCACCCGTGTGGCTGAGGTGGGCATCCCTGTCCCCCAAGAAGTCCCTGAGCTGGGGCATGGAGATCTGTCCCTTCATGTAGAACTCAATGGGCCTCTAGGACATAGCTACTTATGAGGACCCTAACTCCAGGCCCTTCGGCTGTCCACCTGGGCCACACAGGGATCCAAGGTAATCCTCCAGGGACACGGCAGAGGGGGCATTTGTGGTCCTGCTGTCCACTTCCACGAGTCACTGAGGAGTCACCTCAGTTCTTACTGTCAGAGCTGTCCAGCAGAAGCCAGCCAGCACCATGTTCCCACCTGCAGACCCTCCGCAGACCCACTGGAATCTTTAGATTCGCATCCACTGCCCAGGAATGGGATTGGGAGAGGGTGGTCCCGGCCAGTGACTTAGCCTGTTCCCCAAAGCAGAGCCTGAGACAGAGGCAGGAGGGCAGGGAGGGGCATCTTGGAGGGTGTTAAGGTTTGGCTGTGAGGTGTCCCCAAAGCTCACTGTGAGACGGTGCAGGAAGGTCCAGAGGAGACATGACTGGGTTGTGAGAGCCTTAACCCAACCAGTGAATGGACCCCTGATGGGATTAACTGGGTGGTGGCTGGAGGAGGTGGGTGTGGCTGGAGGAGGGGGCATTGGGGGTGTGGCTTTGGGGTCTCTATTTGTCTCTGGAGAGTGGAGTCTCTCTCTGCTTCCTGATCACCATGTGAGCTGCTTCCCTCCACCACACTCTTCCTCCATGATGTCCTGCCTCCCCTCGAGCCCCGAGGAGTGGAGCCTGCTGTCTGTGGACTGAGACCTCTGAATCCCTGAGCCCTTAAGTAAACTCTTCCTCCTCCACAATTGTGCTGGTGGAGTCTTCTAGCTGCAGCAGTGATAAAGCTGACGAAAACAGAAGTCGTCCCAGGGAGCAAGAGTGAAGGAGGAGGGTGGAATAAACAGAGCAGGATCTAGACATGGAGTCTGAGCATCCCTGATATGAAAATCTGAGAAGGCTCCGAGATGGGAAACTGATTGAACACCCATGTGATGTCATGCATGGAAAATTCTCCATTGGATCTCCTGTGATGGGGTCACAGTCAAAACTGGCCCACTCAGGATAGTGTACCAAATCACCTTCAGGCCATGTATGTAGATGTACATGAAATATAAATGAATTTTGTATATATAGCTGTCTCCCATTTCCGAGATATCTCATGGTGCAGGTGGAAATAATCCAAACTTTGAAAGAAAAAGAAAACCCACCCCAAATCTAAAATAACCCGAGCAACTCAGATAAGAGATACCCAACCTTTCCTAAGAGTCGTTACTTTGTTGGGCCTTTTATAAAGCGTTATAGCAAAAACGTCCTGAGAGGCCATAACTGTCCACTAGGAATTGGAAAGGGTGCGTTTCATCTCCTGTGGCCCGTTCCCACGAGTCCCATGAGGATCCTTTATATAATTTCTTAGTGTCAAAGTTACCCAACAGGAGCCAGTGAACCCCAGGGGAAGGTGTCCGCCTGCGCCTACAGGAGGCTGCGTGGAGCTGGAAATGACCTGGCATGGCAGGTGCAGGACGAGGCTGGGAAGAGGATGTGAAAGGGAAGTCGGTGGCATAAGAAGTGATCCTGCTGTTCTCCCCATGTCTGGGACTGCCGCGTGGAGCCTCCACGTCCCCAGGGGCCTCTGAAGGACCCACCGAGCTCCAGTCCACAGACATGTCGCTGCTCAGGGGAAACTGGCAGGCGTTCAGCTGGGAGAAGAGACACCACTGCTCCCAGGAGACGAGGTTCTGTTTGATCATGAACTTTGGCCCCCGTCCATCAAAACCAATAATAAAAAATTTAAAAAAGACATAAAGTTTATTCCCTTCAGTGTCTACTTATACCAGGTGGGAATCTTCCCCAAAATTTGTTAGTTGCTAAAATGAAGGGAAGAATTGATGGTCACTGGATGAGACAAAGGGGAATGAAGGGAAGGGGGGTGGATGGGAATGGGAAAGACGGTGGAGTGAATGGGCAGAACTTTCCCATGTTCCTATAGGAACACACGACCAGGGAAACTCCACATCATGTCCAACTACAAGAATGGGCTCCCAATTAGAATAAGTTACACTCCATGTATGTGTATCTTAAAAGAACAATTTTTTTTTTTTTTTAAATGAGAAGCTGGGTGCAGTGGCGCAGGCCTGTAATCCCAGCGGTTCTGGAGGCTGAGGCAGGAGTCTGGCGAATTCAAAGCCAGCCTCAGCAAAGGCGCAGCCCTAAGCCACTCAGGGAGACCCTGTCTCTAAATAAAATACAAAATGGGTCTGGGGATGTGGCTCAGTGGCTGAGTGCCCCTGGGTTCAATCCCCGGTACCAAAAATAAAATAAAAAATAAAATGAGAAGCACTTTCTTGTCTGGGTAGGCTGCACACCTAAGCTCCATGGTTCTCAAAGTGTGGTCCCCAACTGGTAGCATCAGCCACATGTAGGACCTTGCCAGAAATTCAGACCTCTACCCCAAACTTCCTGAATCAAAACTCTGGGCTGGGGCGAGGAGATACCAGGTTTAATGAGTACCCCGGGTGATTCTGGTGCACGCTGAGAGGGAGCTGTTGCCTGGAGACACTTAGTGGACATCACGTGCTCCGGACCTACATCTCCCGTCAGAAACAGCGAGTGGGCTGGGGGCTGGAGTTGGGGCTCCGCGGTGCAGCGCTTGCCTAGCAAGTGTGGGGCCCTGGGTTCGATGGTCAGCACCGCATATGAATACATGAATAAAATAAAGGTCCATCAATGTCTGAAAAGAAACATTTTAAAAAGAAAAAAGAAAGAGCAGGCGACATCAGGGATCAGTCTCCACTTTCTCACGGGCAAACTATGCCCACCTCCATTTCCAAGGCTGCCATGACACATTACCCCAAAGCAGGTGGCTTCATCCACAAACTTATTTTCTCACCATTTTGGAGGTCAGATGTTTAAAACTGGGTGTCCGTAGGCCACTGCTCCCTTCAAAGGCTCTAGGGGAGACTCCTTCCTGGCCTCTTCCAGCTCCTGGGGGTGTCTGGCTTTCCTTGGGTTCCAAAACCTGGTCTTCTTACAGTTTCCCCTCCGTCTCCTCCACTCTCTCCTTTCTCTTACAATGCCTATCCCTGGCTTTAGGGCCCGCCTTAAATTCCAGAGGATCTCCATCTGCAGATTCTTAATGACATGGGCAAAGACTCTCCATAAAGTCATAATCACAGGAACTGTGGGGTGAAGACATGGGATGGATCTCTGATGAGGGATGTCAAAAATCCAGCCCCTACCAAGTCCAACATGATGGAATCAAGTAAAATTCATCAGACTCTTCGACAGATGGACAAACACAGAGGCCACAACTAGTTGTCCGACTCCGCGCCCCACCCCACCCCCAGGCAGCAAGACAACAGAATCATGTGTCTCTGGGATGTTTCTTCATTAGCCCTCCCCAACACTGATGCTCCAAGGTGCCATGACTCATTATCCCTGACCACCCAGAGGGGCCCCTCTCCCTCCTTGATGCACCCCTAAGCTCCGTAGTTCTGAAATGTAGTCCCCAGCTGGTAGTACATCCCAAGCGGGATGTCCACTCCACATCCCAAGAAGACCATTAGCCCATGGCCTCCAATGCTGATCTTGTGGCCCAGGGTTTGCTCCTGCGGTGGACCCCAATATCCTGTGGTCAGCCTTCCCCCCAGCATGGGACAGGAGTAAGGTCTGTTTCCTACCCTGTCACCTAAGCATGGCCCACAGGCCCTCTCAGGCAGAAGTCCAAACCTGTTCTCCTACAGAGCTACTTCCTGTCTCTGCACTCATCTCCTCATCATGGGGAGGAGGAGTGGGCCGTTCCCTCTGCCAACAGGGCTCTCCTGGGCATTAACGCCTGCTGCATTCCCCGCTCTGGGCTGGGTGTGCGAGAAGCCAGAGGAGACTGAGGACTACATAATGTATAATTCCAAAGAGAACCGTTCATGCTGGTTCTCTAAGAAAGGGGTCCTCGTGGCCTGTGCATGACCACAACCTGGACATGGCCTAGTCCACTTTTGAGACCACTCACCTGCAGCCTGGGAATGAAGTTCTCCCATCCCCCAGGGGGGACTTAGGCCCATGTCCCTTGGCAATGGCACAACCCATTCCCCCTTTAGGAGAAGCTCCACACCCGTCACCTACCTTCAGGGATGGGGTCTAACACCGTGGCCCAGAAGGTAATTCCCCCAAGCACGGACCTTCCAGCAGGTTCCAAAGGAAAGGCTAGTCCATCACACCCAGGCTATTTTATAAGTATGATAATGAGAGATGTTTGTGGGCATCCGACGCTACAGTGTTGAGAACAAATATAGTTCTTTTAAAAAAGGAAAGTAAACTTAACTCGGGCGTTTGCCAAGTGTCAATCATAAGGGGCCATCTGGAAGGGAGATAAATATGGCTTGGCCCCCAGCACTGGCTGACTTCGAATCTCCCTGGGGCTCGCAGATGGGATGTCACATGGATCAGCTCCAAGGGCTTGATGATCTCGTCCCTTTCTAGGTGGTCTCTGTTGGAAGACAGTGAGAGGGAACAATATGGTGTTTTGCTGGAAAATAAATGGAGGCGGGTCCTGTCTGCAGTTCAACCAGCTGGTCAGAAATGCCCTCCTCTTCGCCCCCTGGCTGAGCCGGCCCAGGCCTTGAAGCTGGGGGTGGGGCGGGGAGATGAATGCCACCTGAAGGTAATGACCCATAATAGGAGGGAGGATGGGAGGAAGAACTGGAGCCAAACAAGCTGTTTGTCTTCTTAGCTCAGCCTGCTCGGGCTTCCTTTGTACACATTCCACCTCTTCAGGAGTTTGTGTGTGCTTCTCAGATGCTGGATCTTATGCTATCTGGGGCCCAGAGAGAGCGAGCATGGATCCAAGGCACACAGTTGGCAACCAGTGGAGCCAAGATATAAAATGTGAACCATCCGACTCTGTGGCATGGTGCCCTTGAAAGTGATCCCAAGTCCCCAGAGGACAACAGCCACTGAAAGAAGCATCCAAACGGATGCCAGGAAAAATATTCCATCTTCTGGGTGGTTCCAGGTTGATCTGCTCGTCTTCATGAGCTTCGACACACCCATCTTTCAGCTTTTGTTCCCACTCGTTCTTCCAGACATGTGCACCTCATTGGAGCATCCAGATTATTTATCAGAAATAGTAGAGAAATTTTCATAAGACATCCTTGTAAAAAGACCTGATATCAAACATATTTTGGGTGGACTTATTGCAGGACACTAAATCTTTCTGCTTTGTTTGATTTATACAAGTCCTGAAAAAAAAAAAAACCAACAAATCCCTACCAATTCGTAGTATGTGGGCACACCCATATATGTGGACAGGTTGTAGCTCTGTTTGTGCACGCTAGTGCAGGCTCTCTGTCAAATTATAGTTCCAGGATCCAGGAGCTGCTGAACACAGACCCTCTATCTCACAAGGGGTACCCCCAGCTCCACAGAAGCAGCCTCCACACCCCCCCACCACCACCAAAGAAACCTCCTAACAATTGTAACACATAAGCTTCTCCTGTCTCCACAGGTCAGGAGGACATGTGTTTCGTGGGAGGTGTGTCTGGTGGGCGATCACTGGGTCTCTGCACATACTAAGAGGGCTGGGCTGGCTGCTGGGGAGCCTCCTCCATCCAGGGACCCCCACACCATGTAAGTTTCTCTCCTAGTCAACAAGACTTTAAAAGAATGTCAGCAAGATCGCTGCAGAGAGCACTGTGGTTTAAAACTCCTTCTTCTTCTTTTTTTGTACCAGGGATTGAACTCAGGGGCATTGGACCACTGAGCCCCATCCCCAGCCCTATTTTTGTATTTTGTTTAGAGACAGGGTCTACTGAGTTGCTTAGGGCCTTGCTCAGTGGCTGAGGCTGGCTGTGAACTTGTGATCCTCCTGCCTCAGCCTCCTAAGCCACTGGGATGACAGGTGATGGCCACCACACTCAGCTGGTACGACTCATTCTTACCCCTGTTATTAACCTGCATGGCCCAGCCAACAGCATGAAGTAGGTATCGTGAGCTTTCACAGGTCACACACACACACACACACACACACACACACACACACACACACACACACGGTCAAGGTTGGAGAGGAGACAGCGAGAAAGACCCCTTTGAAGATCCCTGATGCCCATGATTCCTGGGGACTCCTCTCTTGCTGGCTTGTCCTCCGCGGGCACTTGACTGCTGGCTCTCAGGGTTTATCTCGGCTGTCACGCCCCAGGGTGGAGGGGTTGTGTCCTGGGTTGGTGGGCTCCTTCCTGGACCCGGTCTTGTGGGATCCCTCCGCAGGACAGTTTGCCTGGACCTGATTTACAGAACAAAGAGCTGGAAGCGGGTGTGTGTGGGGGAGCTGTCCTGTCGAGGTCTGTCAGGGGCACACGTGTCTCTGGGGGTGTGCCTGGTGGGCAACGCTGGGTCTCTGCACTGCCTCAGAGCGCTGGGCTGGCTGCTGGGGAGCCCCCTCCACCCCAGCTCCTCCAGGGTGGCCAGTTTGTAGTCACAGCT